TGATAGCTAGCTACGTGTTTACCTCCTTGTACAGTTTCCCAAGGTGCTCCTCGCTGTGTATTAACCAAGCCCAGAGGTTTCAGTGTGGTAATTTATTGAGGTGAGGTTTTCTCTTCCACACTGAGATCAGCAGATTACTGCAGTGAGAACCGTCGTTCAAGAGAACACTTAGGAACATTAGCCGTGACAGCTCCATTTCCATATTCATAAATACTCTTGAATCAAGCCCCAGGATGAGGAATAATACTCTACTGTAAAATAACCAGAGTTTAGTAAAAACACCTGTTTGATATTGGTAAATAGCTCTTAACAGAAATATGAATGGGTGTACAGTTTGACTGACAAGAGAAAAATAATGCATAGATTCTAGAACATGGAAGAATGTGTATGGTGTTTTAAACAATTGGAGGTTTGATACACAATGACAACACATCAATACTGGTTTCTCTTATTGTCACGCCCTGGCTCTGGGGACTCTTAAATGTTGAGCCAGGGTGTGGATTTGCTATGTTTAGTTGTTTCTATGTTTTTGTTCTAGATCGTTTGATCTATGTTGGCCAGGGTGGTTCCCAATCAGAGGCAGCTGTAGCTCGTTGTCTCTGATTGGGGACCATACTTAGGCAGCCTGTTTTGCACTAGTCTTTGTGGGATCTTGATCCGTAAAGGTTTGTTGTGTTATAACCTCAGGACTTCACGTATCGTTTGTTTGTTGTTTTTTGTCGTTAAGTACGTTAAATAAAAGTATGTACGCTTATCACGCTGCGCCTTGGTCCGTGTCTTCAGTCAACGATCGTGACAGAAGATCCCACCATAAGAGGACCAAAAAGCGTGCCCAGGAGGAGAAGATGGCGATGTCGCAGGTGGGCAAATGGTGGTCTTGGGAGGAGATATTCGCGGGGAAAGGGCCATGGGCAAAGGTGAATGCCCAGGCAGGAGAGGAGACTGTGGAGGCGCGCTACAGAGAGGAGCAGCGGCAACGCAGAGGGTACCGGCCGGGGAGGAAGCCCGAGAGACAGCCCCAATATTTTTTTTGGGGGGGGCTAAAAGGGTGGTTGGCGGAGCCTAGAGTTAGAGCAGAGCCAACTCCCCGTACTCAGGCTAGGAAGCGTAAGACTGGGCAGGCTCCGTGTTATGCGGAGCCACGTACTGTGCCGCGAGTTTTCCGGCACAGTCCTGTACGTCCTGTGCTAGCACCACGCACGTGTCGTGCTAAGGTGGGCATGCAGCCAGGACGGGGTGTGCCGGCTCAACGCTCGTGGCCTCTAGTACCCCTCCTCGGTCCCGTATAACCTGCGCCAGTGCCACGTGCTGTAGCGCCAGTACGAGTGCACAGCCCTGTACGTCCTGTGCTGATGCCTCACACATATTGTGTGGAAATAGGCATTCAGCCAGGACGGATTGTGTCAGCTCTCCGCTCCAGACCTCCAGTCCGCCTCCACAGTCCGGCCCGGCCCGTTCCGGCTCCCCGCACCAAGCCAATGGTGCGTGTTCCCAGTCCAGCCCGGCCTGTTCCTGCTCCCCGCACCAAGCCAGTGGTGCGCGTCGCCAGCCCGGTCCGGCCTGTTCCTGTCCCTCGCACCAAGCCAGTGGTGTGCGTCGCCAGCCCGGTCCGGCCTGTTCCTGCTCCCCGCACCAAGCCAGTGGTGCGCGTCGCCAGCCCGGTCCGGCCTGTTCCTGCTCCCCGCACCAAGCCAATGGTGCGCGTCGCCAGCCCGGTCCGGCCTGTTCCTGCTCCCCGCACCAAGCCAGTGGTGCGCGTCGTCAGCCCGGTCCGGCCTGTTCCTGCTCCCCGCACCAAGCCAGTGGTGCGCGTCGCCAGCCCGGTCCGGCCTGTTCCTGCTCCCCGCACCAAGCCAGTGGTGCGTGTGTCCAGTCCGGCACGGCCCGTGCCTGTTCCACTCCGGAGCCAGCTGCTCCACTCCGGAGCCAGAGCAGTCCGCTCCACCGGGGTCCGGTCCAACTCCAGTCAGCGGATCCACTCCGGAGCCAGAGCAATCCGCTCCACCGGTGTCCAGTCTAGCTCCGGCCAGCGGGACCAGATCAGGGGCGCAACGGGGGGGTGGAGAGAGAGTGGTGGTCACGCCCGTTGCCGGATCCGCCTCCAAGGCGGAATGCCCACCCGGCCCCTACCCTCTTGTGTTTGTGTTGCGCGGTTGCAGTCCGCGCCTTTGGGGGGGGGGGGGGAGTACTGTCACGCCCTGGCTCTGGGGACTCTTAAATGTTGGTGTGGATTTGCTATGTTTAGTTTTTCTATGTTTTTGTTCTAGATCGTTTGATCTATGTTGGCCAGGGTGGTTCCCAATCAGAGGCAGCTGTAGCTCATTGTCTCTGATTGGGAACCATACTTAGGCAGCCTGTTTTGCACTAGTCTTTGTGGGATCTTGATCCGTAAAGGTTTGTTGTGTTATAACCTCAGGACTTCACGTATCGTTTGTTTGTTGTTTTTTGTCGTTAAGTACGTTAAATAAAAGTATGTACGCTTATCACGCTGCGCCTTGGTCCGTGTCTTCAGTCAACGATCGTGACACTTATTGAATGACTCCAGAATTGAGCAAATCCTTGACCAAAAATGTATAACCGTCGTTAATTATGCACTGAACAAGAATGTTAGTTATTTCACTGTCTTACAAATGATAGGAGGGTAAAACCACTGCATGTGCTTATTCCGCATTAGGAAGATGACACACATATCTACCAGGGAGTGTATACTCGTATTATGTGTAAACCCTATAGTGAGTGAACATGGAGCTATATAGCAGACCTGGGTGGTAGGAGACTACAGATGCATGGTAGGATTGACTTGACTATTCCAGAACATACACTACATCAAATCAAATCAAATTGTATTGGTCACATACACATATTTAGCAGATGTTGTTGTGGGTGTAGCGAAATGCTTGTGTAAGAAATAACACACAAAAAACTAAATACTGCAAAGTTGCTTAGGAGCTAGAAGCAGAACTGCCATGTCTGTGGGCGCAATCTTACTGATGTAAGACTAAAAGTATGCTAAAAGTACATGTCTATAAGTATGTGGACATCTGCTCGTTGGTCTCATTCTTTGCTGCTATAACAGCCTCCACTCTTCAGGGAAGGCTTTCCACTAGATGTTGGAACATTGCTGCTGGGATTACTTCCGTTCAGCCACAAGAGCATTAGTGAGGTTGGGCGCTAATGTTGGGTGATTAGGCCTGGCTCGCTGTCGGTGTTCCAATTCATCCCAAAGTTGTTCGATGGGTTTGAGGTCAGGGCACTGAGCATGCCAGAAAAGTTATTCCACACCAATCTCGACAAACCATTTCTGTATGGACCTCGCTTTGTGCACGGGGGCATTGTCATGCTGAAACAGGAAAGGGCCTTCCCCAAACTGTTGCCACAAAGTTGGAAGCACTGAATCGTCTAAATGACATTGTATGCTGTAGCGTTAAGATTTCACTTCACTGGAATTAAGGGGTGTAGCCCAAACCATGAAAAACAGCCCCAGACCATTATTCCTCTGCCACCAAACTTTACAGTTGCCATTATGCATTGGGGCAGGTAGCGTTCTCCTGGCATCCGCCAAACCCAGATTAGTCAGTCGGACTATCAGATGGTGAAGCGTGATTCATCACTCCAGAGAACGCATTTCCACTGCTCCAGAGTCCAATGGAAGCGAGCTTTACACCACTCCAGCCAACGCTTGGCATTGCACATGGTGATCTTAGGCTTGTGTGCAGCTGCTAGGCCATGGAAACCCATTTCATGAAGCTCCCGACGAACAGTTATTGTGCTGACATTGCTTCCAGAGGCAGTTTGAAACTCGGTAGTGAGTGTTGCAATTTTTACACGCTTCAGCACTCGGCGGTCCCGTTCTGTGAGCTTGTGTGGCCTACCACTTCGCGGCTGAGACGTTGTTGCTCCTAGACGTTTCCACTTCACAATAACAGCACATACAGTTGATCGGGCAGCTCTAGCAGAGCCGAAATTTGACAAACTGACTTGTTGGAAAGGTGGCATCCTGTGACGGTGCCACATTGAAAGTCACTGAGCTCTTCAGTAAGGCCATTGTACTGCCAATGTTTGTCTATGGCGACTGTATGGCTGTGTGCTCAAATTTATACACCTGTTAGGAACGGGTGTAGCTGAAATAGCCGAATCCACCAATTTGAAGGGGTGTCCACATACTTTTGTATATATAGTCTATCATGCCATCGCCAGTATTTGCTTCATTTTCTCTTTGGCTTTGAGTGTTGTTTGCTTAGCTCTCTCTCTCTCATGTTTATGCAGGAGGGGGAGCCTCCCCTACTGCTGATGTCTATATTTGGTCTGTCTGCGTCTGCCCAATGTCAGTAACAGGGTGACTCATTGCTGATATGGCAGTGTTGTGATTTTCAGAAAGGCCACACTACAGCAGGGGGGCACGCTGGTCCATTACAACAGCCACAGAGATCAAACAATACATTAATAATGGCAGAAGTCCACTATTCAAAATTGATACAGAGCGAAGGGGGTGACTGTGTTTCAGTAAACAAACACACACAGTTACTACTTCAGACTCTGGCCTCAGGGTATAATCCTGGTAATATGGAAGAGAGGGAGGCTCCAAGCTTATAACGCTGCCTGTTCCCATTTACGTTCCATCTCATCCATATCGCTCCCAATTGTCAATATTGTCGTCAATATTCATAGACATTAGATCAGCTCACAGGCCCCGGACAGTATTCCAGTAGACTGAGGCTATAGGGTCCTTATTGAATCAAACCTGGAATTCTGTTTTTCTGGATAAGAAGAATATTACATTTTTCACACAAAGGCAAACCAGATTGAGAGTGTTCTTTCCCAAAACTAAAACAAAATCAAACAAAACATAAATAAATGAAACATTGTTTTAATCAGTGGTGTTTATTTAAGAAAACAGTGTTTATTACATTGACTGAACTGCATGATCTCGGTTAGCCCTAAATACATTTTTACAACAAGTACAAGTCTATACACCTGACCCACCTGACTGAAACTTCCATTTATCGTCTTAAAAAAAAAGAAGATGGTATGATTAAGAGATAAATAGATAAATACGTTAATGAAGGAACCCCCCCCCCCCCCCCCCCCCAAGAAAACACCCAGCCAATAAATAAATAACAATAATAATATAATTAATAATAATAAATAACATTCAAAATATCTTTGGCCAAACTTGGGCCACATAATTGTCCCATAACTTGTCCAACTGAGAGTAGTCTCAAACCCACATGCCTCTGTCTGCCAGTCAGCCTATGCTTGCATGACCAGCTTGAGAGAGAGAGAGAGAGCGAGAGAGAGAGAGAGAGAGAGAGAGAGAGAGAGAGAGAGAGAGAGAGAGAGAGAGAGAGGAATAAAAAATAAGAAACAAATATATTGAGGCACTTTTAAGGATATCAAAGAAGAAAATGCTTGCATTTTCTGTTTTTCTGTCTTTATTCCCCCTAGCAGTGAGAAAACGATGTAGAATAAATAAGACATAAAACAACATTCAATATAAAAGTAATTGGAAGGCTGTCTTTTTCATCTAGCTATCTATCCTCCTTTTATACACCTTGTGATTGAGGATAAGAAAAAAACACCAAAAAAACTGACAAACAAACAAATTAATTTGCTAAAATAGAAAACCCTAAAAAATACCAAAAAAAAGTTTTGCTAAGAAAACTAAAATAATGCAATTTTATGTCCACTTTTGGATTCTATGAATAACATAATCAATGTCTGTTTTCTGTTGTTGACGTTGTGTCTGACTGAGTGTCCGACTGCTCTCCAAATATTCCTGCCAGAGTCTTAAAACGAGGACCCCAATCGTTAAGGTAATCATAGTCCTCATCGGTATCTACAACCAGAGACTCGATGGAGCTGAGTGACTCAGCTACAGAGCCCTCCCCTTCATAGGCATAGGTAGCTAAAGAGTCATAGGGTGGGGCTGAGTTGTCCACATCATTTTCTTTCAGTCGCTGATTGATGAAGTCACAGATATCTGCACTGTCATGGGAAACAGGTGGTCGGTTTTTGCCGGTTTTGGGCTCGGGTTTGACATCCCGTCGGAAAAGGTCCCGGTTCTCTTTCAGGAGTTTCTCCTTGATGACTTTGGGGTTGCAGAGGGTTCCCATGTCGAAAGCGTGGGTGTCCTCTTCGCCCCCGCCCTCGTCGTCGTAGTGGATCACATTGTCACGGATGTCCTCCTTGGACGTCATCAGGGTCTCCTTCTCCTTCTGTCGTCTCAGACCCACGTAGAGGACCACAATCACTGGAGAGAGATCACAGAGAGATTAAAACATTAGTGGTTTATGAAAATTATGAATCAATCGGAATGGTATTGGTAGCCTATATGGTGGTATATGGTGTTGGTTATAATATTGCTAATACAGCATAGTTTATGAAAAGTAGGCTATGACATAATACAGTGAGGGAAAAAAGTATTTGATCCCCTGCTGATTTTGTACGTTTGCCCACTGACAAAGAAATGATCAGTCTATAATTTGAATGGTAGGTTTATTTGAACAGTGAGAGACAGAATAACAACAAAAAAATCCAGAAAAACGTTATAAAATGTTATAAATTGATTTGCATTTTAATGAGGGAAATAAGTATTTGACCCCCTCTCAATCAGAAAGATTTCTGGCTCCCAGGTGTCTTATATACAGGTAACGAGCTGAGATTAGGAGCACACTCTTAAAGGGAGTGCTCCTAATCTCAACTTGTTACCTGTATAAAAGACACCTGTCCACAGAAGCAATCAATCAATCAGATTCCAAATTCTCCACCATGGCCAAGACCAAAGAGCTCTTCAAGGATGTCAGGGACAAGATTGTAGACCTACACAAGGCTGGAATGGGCTACAGACCATCGCCAAGCAGCTTGGTGAGAAGGTGACAACAGTTGGTGCGATTATTCGCAAATGGAAGGAACACAAAAGAACTGTCAATCTCCCTCGGCCTGGGGCTCCATGCAAGATCTCACCTCGTGGAGTTGCAATGATCATGAGAACCGTGAGGAATCAGCCCAGAACTACATGGGAGGATCTTGTCAATGATCTCAAGGCAGCTGGGACCATAGTCACCAAGAAAACAATTGGTAACACACTACGCCGTGAAGGACTGAAATCCTCTAGCGCCCGCAAGGTCCCCCTGCTCAAGAAAGCACATATACATGCCCGTCTGAAGTTTGCCAATGAACATCTGAATGATTCAGAGGAGAACTGGGTGAAAGTGTTGTGGTCAGATGAGACTAAAATCGAGCTCTTTGGCATCAACTCAACTCGCCGTGTTTGGAGGAGGAGGAATGCTGCCTATGACCCCAAGAACACCATCCCCACCGTCAAACATGGAGGTGGAAACATTATGTTTTGGGGGGGGTTTTCTGCTAAGGGGACAGGACAACTTCACCGCATCAAAGGGAAGTTGTCCTCCTTCCCTCAGCCAGGGCATTGAAAATGGGTTTGTGGATGGGCATTCCAGCATGACAATGACCCAAAACACACGGCCAAGGCAACAAAGGAGTGGCTCAAGAAGAAGCACATTAAGGTCCTGGAGTGGCCTAGCCAGTCTCCAGACCTTAATCCCATAAAAAATCTGTGGAGGGAGCTGAAGGTTCGAGTTGCCAAACGTCAGCCTCGAAACCTTAATGACTTGGAGAACATCTGCAAAGAGGAGTGGGACAAAATCCCTCCTGAGATGTGTGCAAACCTGTTGGCCAACTACAAGAAACGTCTGACCTCTGGGATTGCCAACAAGGGTTTGCCACAAAGTACTAAGTCATGTTTTACAGAGGGGTCAAATACTTATTTCCCTCATTAAAATGCAAATCAATTTATAACATTTTTGACATGCGTTTTTCTGGATTTTTTTGGTGTTATTCTGTCTCTCACTGTTCAAATAAACCTACCATTCAAATTATAGACTGATAATTTCTTTGTCAGTGGGCAAACGTACAAAATCAGCAGGGGATCAAATACTTTTTTCCCTCACTGTATAAAGTGCTACTTGCATGGGGAAATGTCATAGAATGCATTTGATCAATTGTTTATGTTTTTGTTGGTAGCTTGAGATGGTATACATTTCCCTGGAATGCATGTTATGAGACAGGTCATGGTATTGTTTCCTGGTACAGCGTTCACTTGACTTGCCAATGATGAAGTGACCAAATCTCCCACACATGTTGTTCCTTAGCAACATACTGTATGTTATGTACTGAGTACTGACAAGACAACAAATATTACATAGCCTACTGACACTGCATCGTAGTCAAGCAAAATGTACTGATCTTTCCAAGAATGTACCTTCACAGTAGCAACTGGCAATTAATTTCCCTTTCCTTCCAGATACCCTATTCAGCATTAAACCCAAGGGAATCTCTGCCTGGGGCTGCCCATATCAAACTTACATCTCTCACACTCATTTTGTAAAGCAAGGGGGACGAAAGATTATTCCACAATTTTTTCCTCCTCCCTGTGGTAAATTACAATAAACATTTCCTATATGGGTCTTCAATTTGACTATTCACAAGGGAAAGCAATGCATGGTTCAACATATGTAGAGAAAATATTCAATTGAAATGAAGAAATAGATAGGTTGAAAAGGGGGAAAAAACAATAGAAAGCATGAGTGCTGGAATATTGACTGCCCTTCTCTTCTTTGATATAACTCAAACAGTGCGTCAGCATCCCCCTGTGGTCAAGGTCTGTATTTCAAGCACAGTCATTAGTATTTGGACATAACTTTCTAGGGTGGTAGCTGCGTGTGGTCTATTTGTGAAGGGGAGCTGTGCTGATGCCAGGCAGGCCCTCATGCGGCCAGTTCAACAGACAGTTTGATTTTCCCATCATTTCCACACAGGAAGGAACACCTGGGTCAGCTTGACAAATCCACCATAGAAAATAACTGTCTTTCCCCCCAAAAAAGTGTATTCCTTTAAGTTGTGATACACTCTAGCATTTTCTCAGAGACAGCATGACTTGTTGGAATAACAGCTGTACCAGCCAAAGCCTCAGGACATGTTGACTCTGAGCTCTGATAACAGTTCTCACCACGTGGTCAACCCTTTCAACACTAACTCTACCTTCACAGAGACCACAGTGGGTGAAGAGGGCCTTCTTCTAACTAACAACTTCTTACTCACTCAACATGAAAAATAACTCCTCAGTGTTTGCTCAACTAATTTTAAAAAGACTAATAAAATCAAGACTCTGACAAATCTCTAAACCCACATCTTTGTTGACCCGTAATTTCTGATAAATTTACTTGGCAGGAGAAAGAGGAGACTTGAGGCCATGGTGTGGTCCAAGTAACACATTTAATACAGAATTATCCTGGGCATTTACATTCAATATGCAAGATGTGAGAGCAAGTTAGTTTGTTCTGAAGTGTCTGTCCTATATCTGAGAGATATAAGAAAGATCAGGAAACTGTTATTATTAAAACAAATTTACATGTACTGTATTTATCCCCTTATTTTAGGAACTAAACTATCTCCATATATACTTCAATTCATTTTTATAAACTTGTACCAGGGACCTTCAGACGAGTCTTGTGAGGCTTGTGGGCGTCCTAGAGCAAAATCGAGAACACCAACGTGTTCGTGAGAGTCACATCTTTCAACAGATTGGTCATAGTTTGTAGGCCAAAACGTTCGGACGCTACAGACGTTTTCGTGAGAAGACCGATATTTTCGGGATGTCTCATGGTCTGACGAACACCGCTCTAGTTCGGCCACCTTTCACCGCAGATACGGAAGGGCAATATCGGCAGATGCGGTGGATTGAGCTCATACAAAAAAACAGATATATCTGGTTTAAACTGACAGATTTTGATGGGGATTTTTGTTATTCTGTTAATTCGATTTCCATTGGGCCACAAAAATTGTAGGCTAAGGGTTAAGCAGATTAAGTAAAGTAAGTATCCTAGAAAGAATGGCACTGGAATGGATAGCTGCCATTTTACGGGCTCCTGACCAATTCTGCTGTTTTTTTGCGCTGAGCTTATCTTTTTTTGATACATAATGTTTCTGCCAACGTTTCCTATGACCGAAAAGAGCTTCTGGACATCAGTGATCACTAACCTCGATTTGGATGAAGATTTCTACTTCAACGAATTGGCGATGCAAGAAATGCTGGTCACCCTAGACCAGGCCCTAATCCCTGAGACTCCGAAGAGAAAGAGACGGCGCAAGAGAGGCTGATGTGCGGGCACCCTGACAAACTTATGTCGGTGATTAGATAAACTGCCCCTACCCTCCGTTCTATTGGCGAATGTACAATCACTGGAGAACAAACTGGACGAGCTCTGTTTGAGACTACACTATCAACGGAACCTGACGAACTGTAATATCCTATGTTTCTCGGAGTCGTGGATGAACAAAGACATATATACACTCAGTGTATTAAACATAAAGAACACCTGCTCTTTCCATGAGAGACTAACCAGGTGAAAGCTATGATCCCTTATTGATGTCACTTGTTAAATCCACTTCAATCAGTGTAGATGAGGGGAGGAGACAGGTTAAAGAAGGATTTTTAATTGAGACATGGATTGTGTATGTGTGCCATTCAGATGGTGAATGGGCAAAACAAAATATTTAAGTGCCTTTGAACGCGGTAAAGCAGTAAGTGCCAAGCGCACCGGTTTGTGTCAAGAACTGCAATGCTGCTCGGTTTTTCACGCTCAACAGTTTATGTGTGTATCAAGAATGGTCCACCACCCAAAGGACATCCAGCCAACTTGACACAACTGTGGGAAGCATTGTAGTCAACATGGGCCAGCATCCCTGTGGAACGCTTTGACACCTTGTAGAGTCCATGCCCTGATGAGTTGAGGCTGTTCTGAAAGGGGGGGGGGGGGGGGTTGTAACTCAATATTAGGAAGGTGTTCGTAATGTTTTATACACTCAATGTACATCTAGTTGTTTTTTCTATTCATCGGCAGCACAGAACAGCAGCTTCAGGTAAGCTAAAGGCAGGAGGTGTTAACAACAGTTTCTGTGTGATCTCTAATATTAAGGAAGTCTTGAGGTTCTCCTCGCCTGAGTTAGAATACCTCAAGATAAGCTGTAGAGTTTTCATCTACATTTTTTGCAGCTTTCTATTTACCATCACAAACCGATGCTGGCACTAAAACCGCACTCAATGAGCTGTATAGGACCATAAGCAAACAAGAAAATGCTCATTCAGAGGCAGCACTCCTAGTGGCCAGTGATTTTAATGCAGTGAAACTGAAATCCGTCTGACCTAATTTCCACCAGCATGTCACCTATGCAACTAGAGGTGAAAAAAACTCTAGATAACATTTACTCCACACACAGAAACACATAAAAAGCTCTCCCTTGTCCTCCATTTGGCAAATCTGACCATAAATCTATCCTACTGCTTACAAGCAAAAACTCAAACAGGATGTACAGTACCAGTGACATGCCTAATACGGAAGTGGTCTGACTAAGTGGATGCTAAGCTACAGGACTGTTTCACTTGCACAGACTGGAATATGTTCCGGGATTCATCCGATGGCATTGAGGCGTTAACCACATCAGTCACCGGCTTAATTAATAAGTGAATCAACGACGTCATTCCCACTGTCACCGTACTTACCCCAACCAGAAGTCATGGATAACAGGCAACATCTGCACTGAGCTAAAGGCTAAAGCTGCCGCTTCCAAGGAGCAGGACACCTATCCAGACACTAATAAGAAATCCCGCTACGACCTCCGACAAGCCATCAAACAGGCAAAGCATCAATACAGGACTACAGTGGCTTGCGAAAGTATTCACCCCCCTTGGCATTTTTCCTATTTTTTTGCCTTACAACCTGGAATTGATTTTTTGGGGGTTTGTATCATTTGATTTACACAACATGCCTACAATTTTGAAGATGCAAAATATTTTTTATTGTGAAACAAACAAGAAATAAGACAAAAAAACAGAACACTTGAGCGTGCATAACTATTCACCCCCCCCCCAAAGTCAATACTTTGTAGAGCCACCTTTTGCAGCAATTACAGCTGCAAGTCTCTTGGGGTATGTCTCTATAAGCTTGGCACATCTAGCCACTGGGATTTTTACCCATTCTTCAAGGCAAAACTGCTCCAGCTCCTTCAAGTTGGATGGGCTCCGCTGGTGTACAGCAATCTTTAAGTCATACCACAGATTCTCAATTGGATTGAGGTCTGGGCTTTGACTAGGCTTGTCACAAGCTGGGCTTGAACTCAGGTCTCAGATGTGGAGAGTTGGGTGTTCTACCCCTAAGCCACAGAGGAGGTATAGTAGGACCCAAACGAAACACTCAAGGCAATACTCCAGGCAAAGTAGATTTAATATAAAAAAAGGTATTACTTTGCACTTCAAAAATAATCCAACAAAAGTTCTTCTCAGAAAGAGGTATACTAACAGAGGTACAGTAAACAAAACAGGAGGACAAAACAAAATAACTCCACGAGGGGAGAAAAACAAAATAAAGATAACTTAGAAAAGCTTACTCGGAAAGACTCTGTGGGACACAGCAGGAGACACATAGCCAGGACTCAAAGACCAAGTGAGGAACAAGGGGAAAAAACACAGCTAAAATACTCTAGGGGAAACAAGGCACAGGTGACCTGGATAAAGCTAATAAGGACACACGAGGAAGAACTAAGGCAGAGGGGAACACAGATGACCTCTAGAGGCCCGGAGACAAACAGGAGGCAGGAAGCTGACAAGGCTATTCCAAGACATTACAATTTTCCCCCTTAAACTACTCGAATTTTGCTTTAGCAGTATGCTTAGGGTCATTGTCCTGCTGGAAGGTGAACCTCCGTCCCAGTCTCAAAGGGAGAAGACAAGACAGGTTTTAGTAGTGAAACATGGAAAGTGGGGTTAATTCTAAGGGAGCGAGGGAGAACAAAACGATAAGAAACAGGGTTAACTTTCCTTGCTATGCGGAAAGGGCCGATGTATTTCTGGGAAAGCTTCTTGGATTCGACCCGGAGGGGCAGGTTCTTGGTGGCCAACCAAACTCTCTGACCAGCTCGGAAACTAGGGGCCGTCCGGCGGCGGCGATTAGCCTGACTTTGGTATCTCTGGGAGGTCCGAAGGAGGGTACGCCTGGCCTTCTTCCAGGTCCGCCTACAGCGTTGGACAAAGCGCTGGGCCGAGGGAACACCAACTTGCGCCTCTTCCTCTGGAAATAATGGAGGGGTGTATCCGAACTGGCATTCGAAGGGGGACAATCCGGTGGCTGAGGACTGGAGGGTGTTGTGGGCATATTCCGCCCAAATGATATAGGTGGCCCAAGACGTGGGATTACTGGCCGCCATACACCGCAGGGTGGTCTCCAGATCCTGATTAATCCGTTCCGTTTGGCCATTAGACTCTGGATGGAACCCAGACGATAGGCTGGCTGTGGCCCCAATAAGCCTGCAGAAGGCCCCCCAAAACCGGGACGAGAATTGGGGACCTCGGTCGGAGACAACGTCCAGGGGAATTCCAAATATCCGGAAGACATGGTTCATGAGGAGCTCAGCAGTCTCCTTGGCCGAGGGCAGCTTGGGCAGGGGAATAAACCGGGCAGCCTTAGAGAACCGGTCTACAACCACTAGGACGACTGTGTTGCCCTGGGATGGAGGAAGTCCCGTAACAAAGTCCAGAGAAAGGTGTGACCATGGCCTGCGAGGAACAGGTAAGGGATGGAGCAGTCCCTGGGGTCGCTGACGTGTCGACTTTCCCTGGTTGCACACAGGGCAGGCCTCAACATAGACCTGCACGTCCTTCTTGATGGACGGCCACCAAAACCGCCGCTGGAGGAATTCCAGTGTGCGAGCACTACCCGGATGGCATGTCAAGGGCGACTCATGACCCCACTGCAAGACGCGGGCCCGAACAGAGAGAGGAACGTACAGGCGTCCGGCAGGACCACCGCCTGGATCGGGCTCATGGACAAGGGCCTCTCGTACCCCTCTTTCTAGTTCCCACTGAAGAGGTGCGACGATCCTAGACCTCGGAATAATCGATGCCAAGGGCTTCTCTTGTATCTCGGGAGAATAGGCTCGAGACAGGGCATCCGGCTTGACGTTCTTGGTGCCAGGTCTGTAAGACAGGAGAAACTGGAATCGATTAAAGAAAAGGGACCATCGTGCTTGCCGAGGGTTCATCCGCTTTGCCTGTTGGAGATACTCCAGGTTCTTGTGGTCTGTGAGAACCTGGAAAGGATGCTGAGCCCCCTCAAGCCAATGGCGCCACTCTTCCAAGGCCAGTTTTACCGCAAGCAACTCTCGATCCCCCACGTGGTAGTTGCGCTCGGCCTCAGACAGGCGGCGAGACATGAAGGCACAAGGGTGTAATCTCCCATCCTCACCCCTCTGTGACAGGACGGCTCCCACCCCCACCTCTGAGGCGTCCACCTCCACCACGAAAGGTCTTTCTGGGTCAGGGATCACCAGAATCGGAGCAGAAGTGAAGCGGCGCTTGAGATCCTCGAAGGCCCCTGCTGCTTCCGGACCCCAGTGAATCTTGGTCCCTCCTCCCTTGGTAAGCGTCGTCAAGGGGGCTACCACAGAGCTGAAATTCTTAATGAACTTCCGATAGAAGTTAGAAAAGCCAATGAACCGTTGAACCTCCTTGACCGTGGCAGGTGTGGGCCAGCTGTGGACCGCTTTGACCTTCTTGGGATCCATCTCTAGGTGGCCGGGAGTGACAATAAACCCGAGAAACTGGGTCTGGGAAACATGAAATTCACACTTCTCAGGTTTAACGTAGAGGTGATTGTCAAGGAGCCTCTGGAGAACCCTGCTAACATGCCCCTCATGCTCCTTCAGTGACCTCGAGAAGATGAGGATATCGTCCAGGTACACGAAGACGAACAGATTAAGCATATCCCGGAGAACATCATTAATCAGGGCTTGGAATACTGCGGGGGCATTGGTGAGCCCGAACGGCATCACCCGATATTCATAGTGCCCCGTGGGCGTGTTGAATGCCGTCTTCCATTCGTCACCTGGCCGGATCCGCACGAGATGGTAAGCATTGCGGAGATCCAGTTTAGTAAAAATGGAAGCCCCTTGAAGCAGCTCAAAAGCAGTGGCCATGAGAGGAAGGGGGTATCGATTCCGAACCGTGATCTTGTTGAGTCCCCGGTAATCAATACAAGGCCTAAGACCCCCGTCTTTCTTTTCAACAAAAAAGAAGCCCGCCCCAGCCGGGGAAGTAGAGGCACAGATGAGGCCGGCTGCCAAGGACTCCTTAATGTAGGTGTCCATAGCTGAGTGCTCGAGGGAGGATAAGGAAAAGATCCGACCTCTAGGAGGGCAGCAACCAGGGAGTAGATCAATGGCACAGTCATACGTGCGGTGAGGCGGTAAGGAAGTAGCCCGGGACTTGCTGAACACTGCCTTGAACCGATGGTAAACACTGGGGACTCGGGAGACGTCAACAGACTCTTGAAACTGGGTACTAGGGGCTGAGGGACTCTGAAGCATGCAGGTGAGTTGGCAAGTGGGACCCCAGCTTAGAATGGTGCCAGTAGGCCAGTCGATCTGGGGATTATGTCTGCATAGCCAAGGGTGACCCAGGATAATAGGATACTCGGGGGAGTCAATGAGATAGAAGGTCTCCTCCTGCTGGTGTTGAAAGATGGTAAGTCGCAGGGACTGAGTCGCCTCTGTAACCTTTCCTGGTTCCAGAGGTCTGCCATCTAAGGCTGTAACTGCCTGGGGTTGAGGAAGTAGTTGGGTAGGGATCTTAAGTTCCTTAGCCAAGGTTAAATCCAGGAAATCACCTGCGGCACCGGAATCGATCATAGCCTGGACCCGATGCTGGTGGCCCTTCCAGGACAGAGTGGCTGGAATAGCTAAGACAGAGTTAGTAGGAGGAGCTCTAATTTTCCCCATCACAGCCCTCCTGTAGCTAGGCGGGGACAGGCGTTTCCCGAAAGCTCGGGGCAAGTGGAGCGGAAGTGGCCGACAACCCCGCAGTAGAGGCACCGACGCTCCCTCATGCGACGTTCCCTTTCGTTGGGAGAAAGCCTGGAACGGCCTAACTGCATGTTCTCCGGGGAATCCTGGAGCAGTTCAGGAGCCGGGGAAGCTCTGAATGACGGAGCCCAAACAGGAGAAACAGAGCTGCTCAGAGGAACTTGGGACTGAGACACCTGGCGGCGAGCCGTTCTCCGCTCTCTTAGACGATTGTCCAGGCGGATGGCCAAGGCTATGAGGGACTCGAGATCCCCAGCTGGTTCTCGGGTAGCTAACTCATCCTGAAGGGGCTCAGATAACCCTCCCTGAAAACAGACCCTCAGCGCTTCATCATTCCATCCGCTCCTTGCTGCTATGGTCCGGAATTCAATGGCAAAATCTGCCGTGCTTTGGGGACCCTGACGGAGAGACAGTAGGCGCTTGGAAGCTTCCCGCCCACTGACAGGATGATCGAACACCCGCTTGAACTCTTCTACAAATGCAGCGTAGGAGTCACAACAGGCCTCCTGGGACTGCCACACCGCAGAGGCCCAGGAGAGCGCCTTGTCTGAAAGAAGGGTAATGATGTAGGCAATCTTGGAACGGTCTGTGGGAAAACTTGAGGGTTGGAGCTCGAAGGTGAGGGAGCATTGGGTGAGGAAACCCTGGCAAGAGCTTGGATCCCCAGAAAAGGGCTTGGGAGGTGGTAGTCGGGGCTCCGCCAATGGAGAAGGCCTGTCGTCACTGGGGGGTGACCTGGAGTAAGGGGAAGGACCAGGGAGGCGTTCAAAGAGCTGGCGGAGGGAACTCATCATCTCGGCCAGGAGTTGAGAGTGACTAGCCATCAGCTCCTCCTGTCGGCTGAGAACGGCTTCATGGCGCTGGAAAGATGCCTCATGTCGAGCGATCACCGCCAACAGGTCCTTGGAACTGAGTGTTTCTGAGTCCATGATTGACTTGGTCTTTCTGTCACAAGCTGGGCTTGAACTCAGGTCTCAGATGTGGAGAGTTGGGTGTTCTACCCCTAAGCCACAGAGGAGGTATAGTAGGACCCAAACGAAACACTCAAGGCAATACTCCAGGCAAAGTAGATTTAATATAAAAAAAGGTATTACTTTGCACTTCAAAAATAATCCAACAAAAGTTCTTCTCAGAAAGAGGTATACTAACAGAGGTACAGTAAACAAAACAGGAGGACAAAACAAAATAACTCCACGAGGGGAGAAAAACAAAATAAAGATAACTTAGAAAAGCTTACTCGGAAAGACTCTGTGGGACACAGCAGGAGACACATAGCCAGGACTCAAAGACCAAGTGAGGAACAAGGGGAAAAAACACAGCTAAAATACTCTAGGGGAAACAAGGCACAGGTGACCTGGATAAAGCTAATAAGGACACACGAGGAAGAACTAAGGCAGAGGGGAACACAGATGACCTCTAGAGGCCCGGAGACAAACAGGAGGCAGGAAGCTGACAAGGCTATTCCAAGACATTACAATTTTCCCCCTTAAACTACTCGAATTTTGCTTTAGCAGTATGCTTAGGGTCATTGTCCTGCTGGAAGGTGAACCTCCGTCCCAGTCTCAAATCTCTGGAAGACTGAAGAGGTTTCCCTCAAGAATTTCCCTTTATTTAGCACCATCCATCATTCCTTCAATTCTGAGCAGTTTCCGAGTCGATGAAAAACATCCCCACAGCATAATGCTGCCACCACCATGCTTCACTGTGAGGATGGTGTTCTCGGGGTGATGAGAGGTGTTGGGTTTGCACTAGACATAGCGTTTTCCTTGATGGCCAAAAAGCTCAATGTTAGTATCATCTGACCAGAGTACCTTCTTCCATATGTTTGGGGAGTCTCCCACATGCCTTTTGGCGAACACCAAACGTTTTTGCACATTTTTTCTTTAAGCAATGGCTTTTTTCTTGCCACTCTTCCGTAAATCCCAGCTCTGTGGAGTGTACGGCTTTTTCTGATATTTTTTTATAACCCAACCCTGATCTGTACTCCTCCACAACTTTGTCCCTGACCTGTTTGGAGAGGTCCTTGGTCTTTATGGTGCCGCTTGCTTGGTGGTGCCCCTTGCTTAGTGGTGTTGCAGACTCTTGGGCCTTTCAGAACAGGTGTATATATACTGAGATCATGTGACAGATCACAGGTGGACTTTATTTAACTAATTATGTGACTTCTGAAGGTAATTGGTTGCACCATATCTTATTTAGGGGCTTCATAGGAAATGGGGTGAATACATATGCACTCACCACTTTTCCGTTATTTATTTTCTAATTTTTTTTTAAACAAGTACATTTTTCATTTCACTTCACCAATTTGGACTATTTTGTGTATGTCCATTACATGGAATCCAAATAAAAATCAATTTAAATTACAGGTTGTAATGCAACAAAATAGGAAAAACGCCAAGGGGGATGAATGCTTTTGCAAGGCACTGTAAGATCAAATCCTACTACACCGGCTCTGACACTCGTCGGATGTGGCAGGGCTTGCAAACTATCACAGATTACAAAGGGAAACCCAGCTGCGAGCTGCACAGTCACGTGAGCCTGCTAGATTAGCTAAATGCCTTCTATGCTCGCTTCGAGGCAATTAACACTGAACCATGCATGAGAGCACCAGCTGTTCCTGATGACTGTATGATCACGCTCTCCGTAGCCGATGTGAGTAAGACCTTTAAACAGGTTAACATTCACAAGGCCGCAGGGCCAGATGGATTACCTGGACTCATTCTCAGAGCATGTGCTGATCAGCTGGCAAGTGTCTTCACTGACATTTTCAACCTCTCCCTGACCCAGTCTTTAATACATACATGTTTCAAGCAGACCACCATAGTCCCTGTGCCCAAGAATGCCAAGGTAACCTGTCTAAATGACTATCGCCCCATAGCACTCACATCTGTAGCCATGAAATGCTTTGAAAGGCTGGTCATGGCTCACATCAACACCATCATCCCAGACACCCTGGAACCACTACAATTCGCATACTGCCCCAACAGATCCACAGAAGATGCTATCACTATTGCACTCCACACTTCCCTCTCCCACCTGGACTAGAGGAACAGATATATCTGAGAATGCTGTTCATTGATAAAAGATCAGTGTTCAACACCATAATGCCCTACAAGCTCATCACTAAGTTAAGGACCATGGGACTGAACACCTCCCTCAGCAACTGGATCCTGAACTTTCTGACAGGCCCCCCCAGGTGGTGAGGGTAGGTAACAACACACGGGTTCCCTCAGGGGTGCATGCTTAGTCCCCTCATGTACTCCCTGTTCACCAACAACTGCTTGGCCGCTCACGAGTGCAACACCATCATTAACCTCTACGGGATCGGTGTTCCGTGTATGGGACGGTTGAGCTAACGTGCGCTAATGTGATTAGCATGACTGTTGTAAGTAACAGCAACCTTTACAGGACATAGACATGTCTTACATGGGCAGAAAGCTTAAATTCTTGTTAATCTAACTGCACTGTTCAGTTTACAGTAGCTATTACAATGAAAAAATACTATGCTATTGTTTGAGGAGAGTGCACAATAACAAAAAACGTATCACGGCAACTGGTTTGATACATTCACCTCTTGCTCTGATTTGTCATCCTAAGGGTTCCAGATATAAAATGTAGCATAGTTTTTTTTGATAAAATCAATTTTTATATTCAAATGTAGGAACTGGGTTCTACAGTTTGAACCCCTGCTGTCTCTGGCTCCACACCCACCCTGCCCGGCCATCTAGATGTGTGAAAGTTAGTGTATAAGCTAATGATCCATAATTTATGACATACCTGGGAGTGTGTAAACTTACATTTTGTATTACCATATCATTTATGTATGTTCTCTATAGTTATGTACTTGAAAATGTATCAATTGACCAATGCGGCAAATTTGGGCAGACTTGATACAAAATAGTTCAGTATTGCAATGCTTCACTGGATCGATCTGAATCTTTGCACACACACTGCTGCCATTTAGTGACCAAAATCTAAATTGCGCCTAAACTGCAATATTATATTGTGGCCTTTCTCTTGCATTTCAAAGATGATTGAACAAAAAATTAATAAATAGAAAACGCATTTTTTGTTTGTATTATCCTTTACCAGATCTAATGTGTTATATTCTCCTACATTAATTTCACATGTCCACAAACTTCAAAGTGTTTCCTTTCAAATGGTATCAAGAATATGCATATCCTTGCTTCAGGTCCTGAGCTACAGGCAGTTCGTTTTGGGTATGTCATACTGTATAGGCGAAAATGGAAAAAAAGGGTCCGATCATTAAGAGATTAAGTTTGCTGATGACACGACAGGGGTAGGCCTGATCACCAACGATGATGAGACAGCCTATAGGGAGGAGGTCAGAGACCTGGCAGTGTGGTGCCAGGACAAGAACCTCTCCCGTAACGTCAGCAAGACAAAGTAGCTGATTGTGGATTCAGGAAACAGAGGGCCGAGCATGCCCCCATTCACATTGACTGGGCTGTAGTGGAGCGGGTCGAGAGCTTCAAGTTCCTCGGTGTCCAAATCACTAACGATCTATCATGGTCCACACAGACCAACACAGTCATGAAGAGGGGACGACAATGCCTCTTCCCACTCAGGAGGCTGAAAAGATTTGGCATGGTCCCTCAGATGCTCAAAAAGTTATACAGCTCCACCATTGAGAGCATCTTGACTGGCTTCATCATCGCTTGGTATGGCAACTGCTTGGCATCAGACCGCAAGGCACTACATAGGGTCGTACATACGGCCCAGTACATCACTGGGGGCGAGCTCCCTACCATCCAGGACTTCTGTACCAGGCGGTGTCAGAGGAAAGCCCTAAAAATGTTCAAAGACTTCAGCCACCCATGTCATAGACTACTACCGCACGGCAAGCGGTACCGATGCACTAAGTCAGGAACCAACAGGACCCTGAACAGCTTCTACTCCCAAGCCATAAGACTGCTAAATAGTTAGTTAAATAGTTAACCAAATAGCTACCTGGACCCTTTTGCACAAACTTTTTTTGACTCATCAGCTGCGCTGCTGCTACTTTTTATTATCTGTCCTGTTGCCTAGTCACTTTATTCCTAGTTATATGTACATATCTACCTCAATTACTTCGTTCCCCTGCACATCGACTCATTGTGTTATCGTTTATTAATTGTGTATTTATTATTACTTTTATTATTAGGTGTTACTACTTTTCTATTACTTCTCTATTTTATTTCTCTCTGCATTGTTGGGAATGGCCCATAAGCATTTCACTGTTAGTCTACAGCATGTGATGAATAAATTTTTTATTTGATGAGCCTTGTCTTGTGCGAGCCAAAATGGCTCATAGGAGGGGGAGCCTATTTCTTGTTTCTGTAGCGTGAGGCAGCTTGATGTACAAATAAACGACCTGGACAGGACGCTAGTCTATCACAGGACCTTACCCCAATCTATCTCCTTAATGCTGAGTGCAAGTAGAGACAAATCGGGTCCCATTTTTAGTCTTTTTTATGATTTGGCCTGGGATCGAACTCCCAACCTTCCATTCTCAGAGCAGACACTAACCACAAGGCCATTGAGTTGGTCTTATAAAGCAGGTTACTCATATTTTAATTGTAACCAACGATATGCAAGGATATAACATTTGGGTTGTTGTCTTGGCATCCGGGTCCCAGGTGGTCCTGTGTCTCCTTCTACACCTTAGTCTGTAGATCGAATAATTAATTTACTAGAAGAGCAAAGCAGAGCAATGCAAAGCAAAGCAAAGCAAAGCAAAGCAAAGCAAAGCAAAGCAAAGCAAGCAATACTACGGGAAGAGATTGGAATTTTCCATCTCCTAGGCTGGTTACTCGCCAGGGTTTGAGAGCCCAGTCTACCCAATTACAAACGACAAGTCCTCAATGGCTGACCAGGCGGATACAGGAGTCCCATCTCCCAAACGGCTGGAAAGGCAGTCCCAGTCGTCAAGTATGTGTGGGAATGGATAGCTCAATGCTCCCACACACTAAACTATGTACATGCAGACTTCTTTTCACTGACCACCCGCTTGACTGAACTGCTTATTGGCATACATGAGCGTCTCATGACTCTCCGCATTCAGCTGATGAACAACTCCTCAGCCACCATCATCAGTGATGGGGGGTAATTTTATAACAGATGAAAACCTTTTGACCACTCTGTATGGGTCACGGCCATACTTGACCTACACTGCAAAAAAATTACCAATTTTAATGGCCGACCATCACACACACACCCTGGAAACAAGCTGCAATGTATGCAGATGAGCTTCTCTTTAAGTGGGATGAGTTTAAGACAATAATTTTTAAGACGAGTTTACAGCCCTGACTTTGAGGGTTAAGTTAAAGCTTAAGTTAGTCAGTGACCAAGGAGTAATGAGACTATGGGATTGGATTAGGTTTTACGGCGTCAATCCAATCCGGAGAGAGCACAGGCTCTGCTCCCTTATTCCTATCCATCAAGGCTCATATCTCAGCACTCCATTAATACATGTTCTGTAATTAAAACCTAGCACATGAATAAGACACTGGAAGTGGCACTTCATTCTGCTCCCAATACTCATGTCGACAAGTCTGTGAGAATGATATCCTCACAATACATTGTTAAATTGATCACAATGGTGTGGAGAGCAGATGTGAATTAAATGGCCAGTGAGAGCTAATCTATCGGGCAGTGGCATCAGCTTCCCTGAGAGCTAAATGAGTTTCACCACCGGCCAAGCCAACCAATACTATAGTTTTAGTAAGGCAAGCGGTTATAATTTGTCAGCTTGTAGGGGTAAGGGTTGCATTACAGCTAGGGTTAGGGCTAGCCTTCATAAGTGATGTTAATGTGGGTTTCTGTCCTGGGTTGTGCGTACAGGGACATACGCCGATCTGTTACACAGTCATGATTGACTGTAAATGACTCACCTAGTAGAATCCCTTATGGAAAAAACACATGAACTTAACATGTGATCACGTGAACTTATGTGAAGTTCATGTGATAACGTGACAACATGTAAAACAACATGTAATAACATGAAACTACACGTGAAAACATGTTATCAAATTTTAAGTGTTCCAAAAACACATGTTTTTACATGATTTCACATGTGAAATTTCATGTTAAAGCATGTGGTTTTTCTTTTAGGGATAAAAATGCACAGAAGAATGGCTATCAGAGCCCCTGTACTAAGCCCCACCAGGATAAATTACACAGTCATAATTGAGTAGGACATTTTTACATTTTTACATTTAAATTTTTAGTCATTTAGCAGACGCTCTTATCCAGAGCGACTTACAGTTTAGTGAGTGCATGCATTATTTTTATTTATTTATTTTATTTTTCATACTGGCCCCCCGTGGGAATCGAACCCACAACCCTGGCGTCGCAAACGCCATGCTCTACCAACTTAGCTACATCCCTGCCGGCCATTCCCTCTCCTACTCTGGACGACGCTGGGCCAATTGTGCGCCGCCCCATGGGTCGGACCTACCACAAGGGAAAATTACTCAATATTCACCAAGTAGAATGACAATACACTGCTTCGTGAGTATGTTATTGTTTTTGTGAGCGTTGGTTTAAGCTCAGGCTGGGCCTTACAGGGATAAACAGCATCACACAGTCAATTCTGACTAGGAGAAGTGAATGAGGCATAAATGACTCACCCAGTAAAATGACAATGCACAGGAGGATGGCTATCAGAGCCCCTGTACTCAGCCCCACCGGGAGGAAGATGGCCTCTGCGCTGCAGGTGAGGAGTGATCCGTCTGACTCGCAGCCACACACACGGATGGTCAGGATGCCTGTGCTGCTTTGGACGGGGTAGCCGCTGTCCTGGATTACAACGGGCAGGAAGTAGATCTTCTGGGAACGCCGTCGAAAACCGCTCTGCAGAGTCACTATCCCCGCTGTGTTATCTGGGACAGAAAGAAAAAAAACAGATGGATGAATAGTAATATAGTCTTATTAAGGATCTGGTACAAAGAAACAGCCATTGTTCAACTACAAATGACCATTGTTTATAATAGTCTTATTTGGGATACACTAACATATACAATGAGACAATGATAATGCTGTCACTGAACCTGTGCATTCTTGTGCATGTGTGCCTGTTGGAAATTACATCAGAAATGTTGTAAGTTGGTTGTTTTCTGTCCCTTGTCATAAACAAGGCTGACCTGACATTACATCAGCCAGCATGTTGCCTCAGAAAACTTCTAAACTGCCTACGGGACAACATGGCAGCCTTACCGCCTTATCCCCTATAACTGAGTGCTCTGGGAAACTGTTTGGTTTCTATTTGTTCATTCAGCCAACATAACTCCAGAAAAACAACATGTTAAATAATGATAAATAACAAATGAACCATGTGGCCTGCTAAGAAGAGTAAGGGAAGCATGTACTCAGACTCATGTACCAAGTAAGGTGGTGTTGGGGCTGGTGCTGCAGCAGGTGTGAAGTTGGTCAGAGGAATAGACCTGGACAGTGTTTCTTAGGAACGAGGTGGTGTCAGCTTGGACCAGCCCCAGACCTGTCCACTGTGTCTAGACTGTCTGACCCCTGTCAGGATTGGTTTGTTCCTCTGACAAGGCCAGGGACTTTTCCCTGATAGGGGTTCAAAGTGTCTAAAAATACTTTACATTTTATGCACAGACTCTGGTCAAAAGTAGTGCACTATAAAGGAAAAGTGTGCCATTTGGGATGCCATCTGTGTTTTTTCTCTTTTCTCCTGCTTTGCTAGACTTCGCCTGTGGTGGTTTGAATGCCTTGTCCCTGCGTATCAGATCTCACCGCTGTATCTGGAGATTGTGTCTTTTGGCACCGTGACGGCAGGGCAAAAAGCTGTGAGACGCTGTGTCCAAAAAGTGCAACTGGATCAGAGGTTCAAGCCAGGTCTCTCTTCGAGGTTGAGAAATGCATTCGTTTCCACAGCTTCATACAGCAATGGGTCACACTCACACTTGTCTTTACCCTCCTTTGCCTGTTAGACTTCAAAGGGTGTGTTTTGCAATATCCCCATTAGAAAGAGACACCATACCCTTCTGAGAATATACTATATGAAAAAATTAATTCTATAGAATTGGCACAACAGAACACATTTTATACATTGATAATAATCACAAATATATTACACAGTTGATTCCCAATGGTGGTAATGGCCTGCACAAAATGTATAGAAATATATATTATTTTGCTGGGATATGTAAGATAACACTGTATATCAGGTACTCACAACAACACAAGGTACTCACAACAACACAAGTCTAAAGGATACTGTCTGTGACCTTGTAGCAGGTATTATGTGGATGCACTGTATCACCTAGAGATATGTTAGATGCTGTCATCATGCTTCTTCACTATCAGGACTACTTTTTCTTCTTCACTGGTACAGTGTCAGAAACCTGGTCAAGATAACTCACTTCCAAAGTCGCGGATAGTGAAGTTCTTGTTGTTGACGTCCCTCTCTGACGGTTTGAAGGAAAACTTATGACCATTTTGTGGCAGATCCTGGTCCTTTGCACTGAAGGTTTGAATTACCTGAGAGAGAAAAAAATAAAACATTAAACTGGCACACTGCCCCCCTCCCCCCCTTCTTCTTTTCACTCAGTTACAATCTACATGTGGTTAATGTGAGTCTTTCTTTCCTGGTTGGCTTGGCCAAATATGACTGAAAACAAAGCCGCTAATTCAAGGTTGGATCACAGGTGCGCTATAAGAAAACACTTATGAATATTGTTTACTAATGATGACGATGATTCATTGAAACATTTCCAGAAATATTAAGGTAAAAGTTACCAACACATCAAATAATCTATTTGCAATTGTCCTTTCGTTTCTGTGTATAAGAAACAGGTTTTCATTTACCTTAAATGTTACTGAGAGAGAAATAGCAACAATTTGTTGTCGGCTGTTTTAAAAAAACGCATTTGGAATTTTAATGTATGGAGGTAGTTTTATATTTTTCTAGTTATTTTAGCATTGTCTAGACACAATGCACTCACACTGTTGGGACATTAGGTTATCCTTTAAGTTCTGTGACTCATAAAAAAGTTACATTAAGGATTTTTTCCCCCTACATATTTATTTGCCTGGCAACAATATTAAATACCTGCCCCCTGCAGCCTTTTCTCAGAGTGAACATACTGTATTCCCCTGACCACTCCCATGAATACATAATGAAGCATAGACACACTATACCCATTGAATAGAAACAATTGAAATTAAATTAAGAATGCAGTATTTATTTATCTAAATCTTTTCACCAATAAAGCCTTGCTTTATTATGACTGTGTAATGGGCAACACCTGGACACAAAATGATCTATACATGCTTGTGACCTGAACAGGGACATATCCGTAAGAGAAAATTAATTAAACATTGTTTCTAGATGCACATATTCTAATGATGTGTTTTACTTGTCTAAGGGCAACAGGGGGTAATGGATTCCTGTCACAATCAATGCACAGGGCTATGATCTCAATGGGAGGTTGTTTAGCCTCGCCTCTCATCCTCTCCTCGCTTCTACTCGCCTCGCCTCGAAACACTCCTCTTCCTAACACTCCTAATCTACTCTGCTCTCCTCTGTGTGGCTTCAGTTTGAGATGACAGCCTCTTGTCTCACTAAACTCTACCCTCTTAATTTTAGAATGCGTTCAAGTAGATGTAATTGTGTTTTTGATAAGAGAGATTTCTTATTTTCTCTTTTTAATCCATTTCACTGAGAATGCACAAACGCAGTGTTTGTCACAGTCCATTAGCTGTGAAGGAACAGCACACTTCTCCTGCATTGCCTACCCCTGACATGTTGTATGTCCTAAGGCAAACATATCTGTTTGAAGAAACCATACTGTATGCCTTTCTCCATAGCCTTCCTTGCTGCTTTCAAATGGAAATATGTACACACTTTTCTGACTTGAATACATCCCTGGTTTACTGTTCATGGAAGTTGCTGCTGCACAGTGTGATTTGCTTCAGAATACCTGTACTGTACTGTAAGTGCTTTGTCTGTTCTTTGGCAGGCAATGTGAGGGGGGCTAATCATCTAGGGGGTATGATGGCTCTTACAAGAGAAGACCTGCAATTCTTTATCACCGACCAGCTGTGGGTAACACCTGACGGAATCTTGCTGTTAAAAGTACTAGTATGGAAAGCATGGAGCAGAACATATATTATTCTCTGAGGGAGTTAAGTGTACATCTTGGCTATGGTTAATACTAAAGTTTCTGAAAATGGTTAGATCTAATGTTACAGGGTTGAGGTCAAGATTAAAAGTGGTGAAAAGATGTTGATAAAAAAAAAAAAGAGGTAATCACCAGCTCTGAAATATTTGTAACAAATATATCATAAAATTAAAGGTTAATTGAGCAAGGCATAACCCACTCGGCACACCACCTCATTTCAACGTGGGATCATCGGGTAATATTTGGTTAAGAAGTTGATCAATGAAATTCTAATCTATAGTCACCCACTCAAAAAGTTAGTTGAATTTCCAATGTGTTGTCACAATGCTTTCAACCATCTAAAAGCACAACCAAATGTCTGATTTTTGGTTTAGTTGTCACTCAAATACCTATCACTGCACTTTCAAACATTTAAAAGCCCAGCAAAGTTCAAATGGGAATACAATGTCAGATATGTTGTTTATTTATACAACAGATTAATGTGTTATCACTGTGCTTCATCTAGAAGCGGAACCAAATGACTTTGATTGCAGTTCAGATTACATTAAAAGTACATGGTGCAAGTGATTAATGCAGTTTGAGATTCTGCACAGATTATTACAGCAAATGTGAAGATCTACACAGACCCACGACGACCTATACATGCTATCTTGAATATGCACGCTTTATATGATTAGCTACATAAGACGAAATGTATAATTACAGTAACCTCAAAATGTGTCCATGGATGTGTTACTCATTTTAAGGTTGAATGTTACATTAATTTGTAAAATAGCCTTAACTTTAGGCTATTTACTGTGTTACAAAAATAATTAGGGGTTCATCAGCGAAACTGGGTGAAACCCTATTGTATTTGTTGGAGTTGATTATTAGGGGTTCCAGGATAGCATCTCAAGCAACAAGGGTGACCCTAGGCCCATTGTATTAGTTTTAGTTTTGTGTTGAATTGAAACAATAGCAGTTGATGACTTTGTTAATGCAATATTGGTCTAAATACTATCATTGATGACACATGAGTGATAAAGAATGGTCACATGGAATTTGCTCTGTTAAACCTACCCTTTGGAATGACTTCAATAGCAACATTGAATCTATTTAGTTTTTAAGTGATCTCTCAACAATCCTTCTCACTATAGCACATTGGTAATAGTCAGTGATATCATAGCTAAACCAGGCTGGGCTTGGTTAAATCCCTGGATGGGAGACCAAAGGGTAGCTGTAGATATAGCAAATCTCCAGTAGGAGGTGCTGCCCAGCCTATTGTTATTTTTCTAACAATGGATATAATGTTAAAGATCTGATGTTGTTCTAATTAAACATATTTTATACAAGGTTTGTCCATATTAAAATTTGGTTACCATGATGACATAATCCTGTGGTTGAAATTTTACCCTCAAAACACAGTTCATGTTGATGTCATTTTTGAAATCCATATGTATTTTCCAAGTAGATTCCGCATCACAATTTGTTGACAAATTATGTTGAAACAACATTGATTCAACCAGTTTGTACCCATTGGGAAGTAAGGATAATGCATATTTAGTGTGTGATGGAAAAGTCTTTCTAGCTATTTGGTAAACCGCCAAAGGAGCTATCTGTCGGCAAAACTAACTGCATGTAGATGTTTGCTAATATGCTAATTTGTAGGCAAAGGTGGTTTACAATGTGCACATGCAGAGACTCTCCTGCATCCAAACAAATAATCTGAAATGCACACTTGGTTGCTGATGTACAAAGCATGCCATACCCCTCCATTAGCTGAAATAAAGATGGTTTAAGCAGTATGCAAAACTCTGATACAATCATACCAGTGATATGCATGGCAATGGGCCATTGTTCTATATAATTTATTTGGTTTTAAATAAAAAATGTAAGGCATATTGTACACAGCTTAATATTAATGTTTACTTGTTATTTGTACCATTATGGGCCCTGGTCAAAAGTAGTGCAGTACATAGGGAATATGGTGACATTTGGGACATAGCCTCTGTGTGTGGGCGCTCATACTATTTCTCTGAA